CCATTATTCGACCGCATGCTATATGAGCTCAGGTTGAACGTCCATCCTATTTCTCCTGGCATAGGGTTGTCGATTGATGAGTCTATATTTGCTGGCGTTCTCTCTCCTCGGCATGATTCCACGCCTGGTCCAGACGGTGCTCCTTGCAGTGCGTGAAAGAATGCAGGCCCTGTTGCCCATCAGCGTCTCTTTCGTGCGTTCTGTGCCCTCGCGGACTTCCAGAAGCTTCCTCGTGGGTTCAACAGGGGCAATGCCGTCATCTTACCCAGAAGACGTCGAGGAGGATGGCTCTACTGTGCTGGCCCCTAAAAATACGAGGACGCTCACCATGAGTAACACCGGCAACAAGATCTTCTCGGCGTGTCGTGGGATTCCGTTCATGCAACAGGCCCAGCATGGGATCTCGCGGTCTGCTCGTGGGTTCATCAAGGGGCGTAACATCCTGGACAACACTGTCGGACTTGAGTCCTGGTTCCTGATGGTGCGTCTGGAGTTGGAATCCACTGCCCCTCTGTTCTGAAGCAGTTGTATAGGAGGGGGCACAGAGGACAGGGTGTTTACACAGCTTGGAGGAATTAGTGAATTCAGTGCGGGTCGGGCTCGACGCGCCTCGAACAAAGCGCGCGCACCCGAATCGCAAGCATGTGGCTATATATGCGGACCCAGGACAGTTTGCTTCCCGTCGTCGTCCTCGCCGTCGCCCCGTTCCCCTTCCTTTCTTCCCCCCCTTGGATGGCGTCGAAAGCGTCCGCGGCTCGGGCGGGGGAGTGCTCCTTTACACCTCCCCCAGTATTCCTCGTTCCTCTCTGCTTCCCTGCTCCACCGTCCGTCGCCCTGCCTCGCCCCCCCCCCTCCTTGTTCGGAAAGTGAAGTCCCTGGTGCCGCGTGCCCGCATCAGCGGCATATGGCCCTTTCGATATCCGAGCACAGCGGCGCAACCAAACAGAGGGGATTGCCAATGCGAGCGTTCGGGGCGCACTCCAAACGCGGGCGGCACGGCCGCCGAACGCGGTCGCATCGCCAAGATGCAAATGTATAGGTGCCTGCGCCAAGGTCCGCCCCCTTGCCAGCGCAGCGGTCTGCATGGCGACGCGTGGAGCTTTGAGTACGAAGAGGTCTATGACATGTGACACCTCTCGTGTTCTCGGATTGCTGCGCGGCCTTCCTTAGGATCCTTCGAGGCCTTTTGGGGTGTCTTCGGGCCGTTGGGGGCCGCTTTGGTGCCGCGTTTCACCGCGGCCGCTTTGGGTCATGGGAGCGCGCATTTGCAGCTCCTTCGGGGGCGCCCTGGGCCGGGGAAGTGTGTATTTGCATTCCCCCCGAGCTGGGCATGGCGACCTCGGTTCGGGGTTGGCAAAATCGGGGCGCCCTCGAGGTGGTGAGCGTTCACCTTTTCGAAATACACAGATCAAGGTGTGATCTGTGCACGCAGCTTGTGTCTCCAACTATGCATTTTCGTGCGTGGGCCCACTGTCTACGCAGATCGTGGTGTGATCTGTGTGCGCAGATTTGGCTCCCATCTGTGAATTTGGAGTGTGCCCCTCGCGGGTGGTGTTGATTGGGCGGGAACTTTCACGTTTCTCGTTCGGCTGGTCCAGGGGGGGCGTCGTGCGCGGTCGAAATACACAGCTCATGTCTCTGACTGTGCATGTGTTGCGCGCCGCTCGCTGGAGTGGTCACTGGGCGGGAGTTTCCGCGGGTCGCCTGGCTGGTCCAGCAGGGGGCTGTGGTCTGGTAATGCAAAGGCGCGGGGGGGGGGGGGATGGTGGGCTGTGGGAATGAGGAGGCTCGATAGGAGGGGTGGCCATGGGGCCGGGGGTGAACGGGATTGGACGAGACGGGAGGAAGTGGGCCCAGGAGGAGCTGCATCATCGGTGTCAGCATCACGAGGACGAGGCAGGCGGGGGGGGGCAGAAGGAGGGGGGGCATGATCTGCATTAGGGCGTGGAGGATGGGAGGAGGGCAAGCACGTGGACGACGGGGGAATTCATCCGGCGGAGGAGGACGACGAGGAACGACGTGAATTGGCACATGGGGGGGTGACAGCGTGGGCGAGGGGCCTGATGAGGACTGGGGGTAGTCGGAGGGGCATGAGGAGGGTGGGGCCACAGCAAAGGGATATTGGGAGGAGGCGGGGGATGGGGCAAGAGTTTGAGGCGGGCGCCAGCAAGCGCTTACTTGAACAGTGTTTTGCGTGTCCGCGCACTCCAGACCACAACGACCGGTTGCAGAACTTCATGATTTGGGTAGTCGTGCGCCTCGTGCTCCCAGGCCGAAGTCTCGAGTCCACGACGCCCCTTGGCGTCGCGTTGATGCCGCCCCGATTTGCCAGACCGCATATGCACATATCGTCATAATATGCGTTTCAACGTTTGTTTCATGACCCTCTATATAGTAACAGACCCACGTTGGAATTCAAGTCTGGAGGGGGCGCCCGAACGCTGGGGCCGTCTTCTTGGATATTGCAGCCGCCTTCCCGCCCCTGAGCCACCAGTTCATGTTCGATATGCTCGCTGTCCTCGGCGCCCCCTCTGCGATTTTGAAAGCCGTGAAGTTCTTGCGCGATCGCGTTGAAGTCGATCTGCTCTTTTGTGGAAAAAAGTTCCCTGACTGGATGATCACGCGCGGCGTGAAGCAAGGATGTCCGCAGGCATGGCTTCTCTTCGCGCTTGCAAAGGACCCAGTGTTGCGTGCTCTGGAGAGACGGATATCGCCGCATCCTGCTGCTCTCTATTCTTTCGCCGATGATGTGGGGATTGCCTTTGCTGACCTCTTTGCGCCTCTGCCTGTCGTTCCCGCGTGGATGTCTCAGCGAGCTCAGGTCGCAGGTCTTTGTCTTAATATTGACAAGTGTGTTCTGGTCGCCCCTGGGATTGATGAACCAGCGGTGATCATTGCCGTTTTCAAGCATCTTGGGATTAATATGACTCGGTTCCAGATCCGTCCGCGTGGGAAATATCTTGGAGTGTTTCTCGGACCTAGCGGGTGCGATGCCTCCTGGGATGGCCCTTGTCGTAAGTTGCTGGAGCGCGCTGCGCACGCGCGTTCCCTTCGTCTGTCTCTGGTGCACAACCTGCACGCGCACGACATATTTGGGCTTCCTGTGCTCTCTTATGTATGGCAGTTTTATCATGCGACACCTCCTGTTCGAAAGACGGAACACACTGCCCTGCAGAGACTTACTGCTGCCCCTCGGCGCGCTATTCCCAGCGAAGCGACCTGTTACGGCACATCGCGGATGTCGGGATCCAGTTCGAACCCAAAAACCTGGAGTGTTCTGCTCGGGCTGCCACGTTTCTTGCTGCTGCCGGCTCGCGAGAGTTTGGGGATGCCATGGGGCGCTTTCATCACTTGTTTACTGGAGTTCGGGACCTTGATGTGCTGTGTCTTCCCAGGTTTCCTCGGTGGTGGGAGTCGCCCGTCGCCTTCTCGATGATGCGTTGCTGGAGAGAGTTGACTGCTCTTGCTCCTCACCTTCGTGATCCCGAAGAGACAGCTGTCCAGAGGAAGATGCATCGATTCCTGAAGTTACGTCATCGCTCCCCTTCCCAGGTTCCTGTACTTCTCAGGCGTGTGCGGTATTTCTGGCCAGAGGCCCCCCCCCCGTCGGTGATCGTGTTTTCCTGAATCTTCCCATTGCCAATAGTAAACTTGCCCCCTCTGCTGGCATCGCCCATCTCCGGACTGCGTGCAATGCGTGGCCGACCACGCGAAGATTTCGACAAGGGACGGACATCTGCCGCTTCGGTTGCTGCAGTTTGGGTGGGGACCAGGTGGCCCATTTCTTCTCTTGCCCCTCGTTGTTGCCTCTGCTTCCTTGCGTCGCCCGTTCCCTCCCCTCCTGCTTCCTCTCGCTTTCTTCTCGTCTGCTTATGTTTGCCGTTCAGCTCCCAGACATGACCCCAGAGGAGTTTCATTCAATAATGTTAATTCGCGATCTTATTATATGCCACTTACAACTCCTTGCGCGCTGGAAATAGATGCGGCCCCAACGGAGTTCGGTCGCACAAAGCTGAGGGGTCTGCTGACTCGCTCGTGGGCCAGCGGGACGAAAGACACAACTGAAGTGGGGGTTCCTCTTCCTCCTCCTCCTCCTCCTCCTCCTCCTCCTCCTCCTCCTCCTCCTCTTCCCCCTCCTCCTCTTCCTCCTCCTCCTCCTCCTCCTCCTCCTCCTCCTCGGCGGCCGTCGCCGCCGAGCAGCCGAAGATCTCCAGCTCCAAGGTGCGATTGTGGGCCACCGTGTTCGCCAGGTGGAGCTCGGACGTGCACAACTACGCCACGCCGCGTTTCCGGGCGCCTGCCCCCGCCGCCGGCTTCGACGCAGCGGCAGCGCGGGAGGAGTACACGCAGCACCGGGACCTTCCCAACTACGACCCTGAGCCTGTGACGACGCGCTGGTTGAGCTGGGCGGATGGCGCGGAGTTTCCGCAGAGCGCTTTCGAGGAGCGGTGGCCCCCATCAGCAGAGGAGTTTACATTCAAAGCACAGGGCGCCGCCAATCTTGACGGATGGTCCTCCAAGGAGGTAAAGCTTCTGCTCCAGATCGCGCCGCCGCTCGTCACTGAGCTGCGGCTGCGCGCGTCCATCTGCGCCTTGCAGCACGCCGGCCGCGCGCCGCGCGACTTGGCCATGCGCGTGTTCCCATGGCGCGTTTTGCCACCATGGTTCGCCACGGCCGCCCACCGCGCTCTGGCACTGCGCGCCTGGCTGCCGCTGCCCCCACGGCTGCTCATCGTCGAACTCTTCGGCGTCTGAGCGCCCATTCTTTCTCTCGGCCGCCCCCCCTTCCCTCTTTGCTCGCCGGCCAATTCGCTAGCTAGTGCCCAATATCTGGCTTCTCGCTGGAGCGGAGTTCGACGCCTCGCCGTTGACGAGAAAAAGTGTTACCATGGCGCGCGGTTGGCATCCTAAAGAAAGACGAAAATGGGGCGCGCCCCATCGGCGTGGCCAGCGTGCTGCTCCGGAGCTGGGTCAGCGCCCTCGCGCCCGCCCTGCCGGAGGTGGCAGCCAACCAGTGGGCGCGCCGCAGACGCAAGTGTGTTGTCCACGCCGTCAGCCACTGGCTCTCGGAGGCCTGCGCCGCGGGGCTCGGGGTGGACCTCACGAAAGCGTAAGTATGACAATATCGCGCGCCGCATCGCTGAGGGGGCGTTCCGGAAGGAGGCAGCTCCCGAAACGGTCATCATGACGTGCCAGCTGGCTTGGGCTGGCCCTCGCGTTTGCCGCGTCTCGGACGGGCTCCCAGAGGCCATCTGGCCCACGAAAGCCATGCCACAGGGCGACAGCTGCGCCCTGGGGGCCATGACGGCGCCTTTGTGCCCTGGCACCCAGAGCCCGCCTTGGATTGGGCGTGACGACAGAAGTTTAGGCGCGAAGGGCGAGCGCGCCTCCGCAGACTTGCGGGCCGGCCTCGAGGCCACGCAGGCCTTCGACTCCGACGTCGGTTTCGTGGAGAACGCCGCCACGCGCCAAGAGTGGGGCGCTCCGGGCAAGCAGCGGGTGGAGCACTTTGGCCTTACGGCGGTGCCTGCAGATCCGTCCCAACCCATCCTCCCCAGGGGGGGCTGGCAAGAGCTGTTCGCTGCCCTCGCGGTTCTCGCCTCGCTCCCGGGGGCCATGGACGTGCGCGAGCGGCTCAGCGTGGCCCCGCTGGTGGCACCTGTTCCCCGCGCAGTGCCAGACCAGCCATTCTGGGCAATCTTGCGTTCAAGGTGCAGCACGTGGTGGTGCCATTGGCGATGGTGGGCGCAGCGCATCATGCTGCGCCCGCCTCTCTCGCCAGCCATCGCTGCAGCCACAGCGTTGGCCAGTCCATCCCTGGTCTGGAGCCTTGTTGCACGACGAGCAGTCGCCGAACATTTCGAGCTCCTGGGGTTGACCAGTTGCCGGTTCGATCTCGAGTGGGGCCTGCAGGTGTCCGTGGACCGCAATGACTCGTACTCATATCCTTCAAGTTACTCTTAGCATTCGCCGCCACGGCTGGTCTTTTAGGACATATTCACCTTCGGCCGCACACGTTCTGCGTGCAGTGGCACGGGCCCGTTGTCTCGAAAGCGCACACAGTACGAGACTTGACGCTGCTGGAGTGGCCCGCGTCGACGTGGACGCATCCAGCACCGCCATTTGGGCCAGGTGGCACAGATCGCTGTCGCACCGCGACAAGAAATACCTCGACATCTTCCGGTCTGGGGCCACCAAGACGCCGACGAAGGGGGGCGAGGCAGCGCCGTGCCCATGGTGCCGCCAGCCGCTCGCCAGCCTCCGCAGCATGTTCAAGGATTGCCCGCATTTCGACAGGGAGCGAGCAGCGATCGCCAGACATCCTCTTTCTGACGCACCCAGCCCAGGGTGACGTCCATATCGGGGTGGATCACATACGACGCAGGGAGGAGTCCTGAGCAACGCGGAACCATGCAGGTAGCAACGTGCCGGATTGGGCTGGCCATCGTCTCTGCGACGTTCGACGTCAACGGCGGCTCCTTGTCCGACTAGGAGATCGCCTTCTTCTAGCACCACTGCAGAGTTAAGGTGGCCTGGTATCACTACGTGTGTCCTCCTCCTTTTCCTCCTTCTCCTCTTCCTCTTCCTCCTCCTCCTTTTCTTTCTAAATCATTTCTCCCTGTCGCACCCCGAGACTTGTTTTTAGGGCGTGCCGGGCGTTTCGCTTGAGACTTTCTTACCATTTATGATTCTGAAGCTGCAAAGTTGGCAACATGACTCTCGCCTTAGCGCCGCGTGCGCTCGTTTTAACCATTTGCAAGAGTTTCATGGGTTCAGGGCGGGTCGTTTTCAAAATGTGGTTCTCGACTTAGCGCCGCGCCCATTCGTTTCAACCGTGTGCGAGTGCTTCACGGATGGAGGGTGGTTCCTTTTTCAAAATGTGGTTCTCGCCTTAGCGCGCCGCGCACATTTGTTTATACACGTGCAACAATTTCACTGGTCCCCGTGATCAACATACCAGAAGCTGTGTTTTGGAAGGGTTCAAGATTATGCGGGTGCAACAGTATCTTTGATTCGCGGTGTTGATGTCCCAGGAATGGCGTTCTGGCACGATTCAGAATCGTCAAGACGCAACAATCAGATTGCTCTGTGACGTTGAAATCCTGGGAGCAATGTTTTGGCATGCTTCAGGGTCTTCAAACGGTTGCCTTCCACCGAGCCAATTCCTTCAATTGAATGAATCATTGTATGGAGCCTATGAGGAGGGAGCTTGGAAGGAGGTATTTTCCGACATCGTTGATGATTATTGGGTTAGCAGTGGTCCTCCTCCTCCTCCTCCCCCTCTTCCTCCTCTTCGTCCTCCTCCTCCTCCTGCTCAACCCCCTCTTCCTCATCCCCTGAGCCTCCCCAGTGGCTTGTTGGCGTCAGGAAATTCCGAGGAGTTTGGTCCTCCTCATCCTCATCCTCATCCTCATCCTCCTCGTTCTCCTCCTCCCCCTCCTCCTCCTCCTCCTCCTCCTCCTCCTCCTCCTCTTCTACCTCCCCACCGATTTGTGGGTGTCATGAAACTCCGGGGAGCCTCCTCTTCCTCCTCCTTTTCCTCCTCCTCCTCCTTCTCCTCCTCCTCCTCCCCTCCTCCTCCTCCTCCTCCTCCTCCTCCTCTTCCTCTACCGCACCACCGACTTGTGGGTGTCAGGAAACTCTGAGGAGCCTTCTCCTCCTCCTCCTCCTCCTTGTCCTCCTCCTCCTCTACCTTCCCACCGAGTTGTGGGCGCCAGGAAACTCCGAGGAGCCTGGTCCTCCTCCTCCTCCTCCTCCTCCTCCTCCTCCTCTGCCTCCGTCCGTAGCCATTTTGGCTCAAGATGCAGGGTTCCTCTGGGAACCAAGCGGATACCGCTAGTCCGCGGCAGGCAAGGCTTCTTGAAGCCTGGCACCGTCTCCTGGCCACCCTCCTCGCGCTCGGGTCGGTGGGTAAACGGAGGCCTTTCCCGTTCCTGTCGGCTCGAACGCATCCAGCTGCAGAGCCATGGCAGGAGCTGGCGCTGGTGCAGCGCGTGACGCAGCTCAGGGGACGAGTTGGCGTTGCAACCGCTGCCACTACAAGAACCTGGGCTGGCGCGCGAAGTGTCGGCAAGCGGGGTGCACGGGCTGCAGGCCGACCAATCGTGTACCTGCTCCTCGTTTTGGCCCTCCTCCAGCGCGTGGGGCGTGGGCGGACGGTGGTGCTGACTCCCGCCCTTGGCATACGATGGCCAGCCCGAAGCGTGGAGGTGGCGGGGGCTCTGGGGCGCAGCCGCCCAAGCTCTCGCCCGAGGCCCGCGACCGCTTCATGGCCCTCAGTGACGACGACTTCGAGCTGCTGTCCGTCACGCTGGCTGCCAGCGACAAGCACAGCCTGCGACAGTCGCGCTTCCTGCTGCAGCAGCAGCTGGGCGCGCTGTCCGATGTCAAGTCCGTCAAGTCTGCGCAGGTCGCAGCCGACGAGGCCTGCAAGCGGCTCCAGCAGGCCAAGGCGGACTACAACAAGAAGCAGAAGATGGTTACGGAGGCGCTGCAGGCAGCGTTCCAGCAGAAGGAGAAGGTCGCGCAGCTGCAGCTCGAGCTGGACGAGGCCGTCTCCAAGGCGAAGGCCGCGCTCGCCAACGGCGCCGAGCCCAAGCCAGCTGCTGGAGGAGCAGATCTCAGCGGCATCCTCGGCAACGTGGAGAAGCTCAGGACGCTCGTGGGAACCTCTTCGGAGAGCCAGGGCGTCCAACTTCCAGAGTCCTTGCTGGGACCACTCCAAGCGCTGCTGGCAGGTGTGTCCGCGCTGGCCGCGCCACCTGAACCAGTCGCTGCTGGAGGATGCGATGGAGGAGCTGCACCTGCAGGCCGCGCTGCCGCCGCCGCTGGGGCAGCCGACGATGCCGCCGAGATGCCCGTGGGCAAGTCCGAGGACATGGACCTGGAGAGCGACCCCCTGGCCTTCGCGACGGGCGACACCTTCAAGGCCGCGGCGGAGGACTTCATCGGCACGGACGCGGAGAAGCGGAAGTTCCTCGAGGAGCTGCAGACCCACCTGCAGCAACAGCACGTCGCCGCGATGGAGGCCAAGCGGCGGAAGCTTTAGCCGCAGCAGCTCTTGGCGTGTCGTCACGTTGAATATGAATGCGTATTCGAACATCGACAAGTGCCTGGTCGAGGAGCTGACGAGCTGCGACGCAATTTTGTTCCAAGAGACGCGGCTGGGAGAGGAGCGCACGGCGGACGCTGAAGGGGAGCTTCGCCGTCGTGGGCTTCGAGCATGTGGTGCTGCCGCGGTGCAATCGCTGGCCGGAGGGCTGGCAACTGGGGGGCTGCTCACCTGTGTGCGCAGCGAGCATGGCCTTGCCACCATGCTAGGGTCGCGGCCTTCTGTGCTTCAAGAAGGGCGCGTGCAAGTACTCCATCACTCGGGGCTGCTGCGAGGCGGCATCGTGATGGCCAACATCTACCTGCAGTCAGGCGTCGGCGTCAACGCGTTCAACGCCCAGATGCTGCGCGACCTGGCCTGCAGGCTGCGCGAGTACGGTCGCCCATACGTGGTCGGGGGCGACTTCAACTGTACCAAGCAGGAGCTGGCCAAGTCAGGCGTGCTGCGGCTCTTCGACGCGGTCGTCGTCGACACGCTGGAGCCCACCTGTGCGCAGTCGAAGCGGACGATCGACATGTTCATCGTCTCGCGTGGGCTCAAGGTGACCAGCATCAGCGTGGTCAGCGGGTCGCCCGTCTACCCGCACAAGCCAGTCATCCTGGAGCTGGAGGCGTGTCGCCAACGGCCGTGGGTTCGGGTCGTGCCAGTGCCCAAGCCCTTCCCTGTCCAGCGGCCTGCTGGATGTGCTCGCGTCGCACACGGCGACCGCTGGGCCGAGATCGGTCACGAGCTGCAGAGCGTGCTGGCAGGCGCGCAGGAGTCGGAGTGCCTGGGCGTTTCCCGTGGGACCTCACCGCCGCCCGTTGCGGGGCCCGTGAGTGAGGGAAGAACGTGCCACTTGGAGGAGTGTGTGCGGGATCAGGTCAAGGGTAGCACCGACGTCAAGGGTAACCTCACCTCCGCATGGCAGAGATTCCTCGACGCAGCCGAGGACGAGTGGATCGACATCTACCAGGTCGAGGAGGACAGGCTCAAGCACAAAGGGCGAGCTCGCCCCGTGGAGCCACGTTGGCTTCGGCGGCTGCCCGTGAGTGGCGCCCGCTGGCCGCGGGTCTCGGCTGAGGCGACATGGATGCACCGTGCTGCCAGCCTGCTGCGGGACATCGCCGATGTTGAGCAGCCCAACGCGCGTCTCGACGCTCTTCGAGGTGCGCGTAGGCTGCTAGACAGAGCCCCAGCCACAGTGAAGGCGGCACCTGATGCTGGCGAGGTTCTGTCCTGCCCTCAGGTGTTGCCCCAAGCTGTAGCATGGTGGTCGCTGCTTAGCAACTTGCGCTTGGCGGCGCTGACCCCCGCTGAGCTGCTGCAGCTGCGCGCTGGGGCGCAAGCGGTGGCGCTCGACATGGCTGAGAAGGACATGGCCCAGCGCACCGTCCAGTTCCAGCACTGGGTCGAGAAGCAGGCCGAAGGCGGTGGAGGTGGTCTACATGCGGTGTCCCGCCTGCCCGTCGGGTTCGACTCCAGCCCGTGCGGCGACGCCGTGGGCGGCCAGGACGCCGACGACCACCAGCAGCTGTTCGAGCCCATGGACCTGGGGCAGCAGGTCACGGCGCTGGAGGTCGAGTGGAGCCGCTGGTGGAGGACTACCTGTGAGCAAGTGCGGCTGCAGTGGCCAGCCGACCTCGGCGAGAGGCCGCCCAGGCCCACGGTCCCCGAGCTCCGCAAGGTGCTGCGCTCGTTCAAGGGCAGCACGGGCATGTCCTTCTGCTCCGTTCGGCCGCGGCAGCTAGACGAGCTATGCGACGAAGCGCTGGAGGTGCTGATCGACATCCTGTTGGCCGTCGAGCGCGAAGCAGCCTGGCCGCTCATGACAACCAAGATCGG